ACAGTCAATATTATTGTGCCTAGATATGGTTTGCTTACTTCTTTCAATGTAAGTACATGATTTTTTTCTGGTTTCACTTTATTTGGATGGTCCCTTTAACACATTCAGAAACGTTGCACCTACAGGTCTACTAACTCTGACTAGAGTGTTAGTAGAGTATTAGTAGACTGTTAGGGTTAGGGATAGGGATAGAATAAGTTATCATGTTGTTGCAAAGTTACTTATACGCCTTATTCACGGCAGCGCCATCTTTGATTTTTAATGAGAATGAAAGCGAGGCTGTAAGGGATAGTCATGCATCTCTTCAATGGGCTGTACTGTTATTTAATGTGTTTTCGGATTGTTCTGCTCATGAAACACTGAAAAATATCTTTCCAAGAAATTTCAGTTGACAATAAACTCCCGAGAATGTAAACTGTGGAAAATTGTAAGTTATCTAGCAGCTTTATTTAGCTTTTTACAGCGGATGCCATTGGAAACACGGTAAGTCTATCCCTCACAGCCTCACTTTCATACCTGTCATGGCGCTGCTCTGAATAAGGTGTATAGTCAGTAGATTGTCTGTTGGAGGAGCAATAAAGAGTTTAATTAAGCAGACAGTCTACAGCAGGGGTGCCCAACCCTGCTCCTGCCAATCGACTGTCCTACACAGTTTATCTCTCATCCTAATCAAACACACCTAAAGCAACCAATTGGTCTTCACTTGAAAAGGGTCACTTGGAAATTAAAGGCAGGTGTGTTTAATTAGGGTTGGAGATGAACCGTTAGACATTCTCTGGAACCGCGGACAGTCGATCGGCAGGAACAGAGTTGGACACCCCTGGTCTACAGTAATACTCTAATGAGTTGCAAAGTTACTTATAGTCAACAGGATGTTCAAAATGGACCATCAAAATAAAGTGTTACCGTTTTTCTCACTTCTTTTATAATGCCAAAAGCTTGAGTTATAAAAAGACCTTATCTGAGCGGAGAGAGGACCATCCAAAGAACAGACCAAGACATGGGTCTTCTTTCCTCTGGTGGGTTAGATTGGACTTCATTTGGATTAAACCTACAATATCAGCAAAGTATAAACATGCACAAAGTGATTGCTAGCTTCTTGGAACACTTGGTTCCCCTCCACTCTCTCTTACCCTTTCATTGAGTTGATATGAGAGCTGAGCTGATGCAGCACCTCCTCGTTCCTCTGTTCCTGACTCCTCAGCTCCTGCAGCGCTTCCTCTAGATGAGCCGTCCTCTCCCGCCCTCCGAGCTCGGCAAGCCTCTGTTCAATATCTGGGATAAACACATCATCAATAGTGCGGAACAAATGAACATTAACATTATGAACACATTTATGAAAAATAGAACACGGTGATGGCAAAGTCAGTCTTCAGTGTCACACGAACCTGCAGAAATCATTCTGATATGCTGATGTGGTGGTCAAGAAACATTTCTTATCACAAAGAGTAGCGCAGAACAAATGGAGAATAGGCGTGTTCGACTTGAGGCGGCGCTGCGCAGACCGATGAGAGTGATTCCAAAGCATACGGCTCTGTTTGCTCTCTAATCGTTTTCATGGTATTTTGATGTCATTCAAGATCAGCACCCACTAATTAACTAATTAACACATTCATTTCCTACTTACTTGAGGGGTTTCAAACAATCATGGTATGGGTTTTTGCTGAGTGAAACAGCGTGACATAATTTGAGACAACCTGTCTTGAGAGTTAGCCACCATGGTGAGTGATAAAAATGCATTCCAGAAACCTGTATTTAACCTCAGAACGATCTCAAGGTAGAACGAGGTGCTAAAGTCTGATATTGTGGTGGCTGTGCTTTAAGATTAAATTATCTTAATTGAAGTGAGGAAGGACTCTGTAAGTCTGACAGTAATCAGTGTTGAGGTTAAACCTGCCTAGTTTAAATGTTTGAAAATTATTAACAGTTAAAAATTTTGGTTAGCCAACACTTTAAGGTGTCATTATTACATGTTAATTATATGAAGAGTTCAGATGCAAAAGCTTCTAAATGCCATTTGAAATTTTCTTCTTTAATGATGATTTTTATCAAACTTGTATATTTAAGTTCAGTAATATTAATTAAATAACAATTAATAGGTAATTATCATTGCCATTTAAGTGAAATTACTGAACTTAAATATACAAGTTTGATAAAAATCATCATTAAAGAAGAAAATTTCAAATGGCATTTAGAGGCTTTTGCATCTGAACTCTTCATATGTAAATATTTGTCAATGATTTTGCGTTCCCTTGTGAAAACGTTTCAAAAGCATAGATTATGTAGCCCCGCCCCTTTTCAGCGTTGCGCTCGTTACACAGCACAGCGATCTTGAATAGGAATGAATGAACTGCACGTAAATTTCCGGTGGACATTTGTTATGACATCTGCTTTACAATGCTTACAATGCTCATGATAACTTTTGTTAACTCTACAATAAGTTAATCCACTTCACCAGCTAATTACTCCTCGACAGTGATGCCATAGAAATATACAGAGCGACCGTTAAAACGGAAGTTCGAAGACAAAATTATAAAGATGACGGCGCCCACGGCCTTTAGCGTCAATATGAAACGCAGATATATGGGCCAGAAGGCGCCTCCTAGTGGTCTAACTCTAACACAACCCCAGACCTAAACCTACCCATAACCGAAGCGTGTTATATTGACGCTAAAGGGTGCCATGTGCGTCGGATTTAGACGCAATGTCAAAAGTGTTACCTATATGATGCCCTAGGATGAGAATGTGTTGGTATCTTTCAGTTACCAGTTTTAAAAAGTACCATTTTTGCCTTACTGTGGAGAACATTAATAAACTAAAGAACTTTTTATTCATAAAGAACCTTGTGCAATGTGATGATTCCATGGATGTAAGAGGTTCTTCCTGAAAGCATAAGAATCTTTATTTTAAGAGTGGTGCTTTCTTTTAACATTCCACAGCTTACCCTCTCTCTCCTTCTCCAGCTGATGGTTGCGTGTCCTGATCTCAGCCAGTTTCTGCTCATGATCTTTATATAAGTCAAGGGCCCTCTGTTCATCAGCTTTCTGCTGGAGTGAACCCTGCTCCTCAGAGACCTGAAGAACACTTACACAATGTCCAATACCGATAATACAAACACTATTCACAATCTAATCAGATTTAAAGAATATTAAACTAACCTCTGTCTGTCTTCTGGGCTGGTTGTGTTCAAATGAGATCCTGAGTTTTCGAAACTAAAACAGAAGATCATCAGATGCTGCGTAAAACCTCTTTGAACTTGAGATTTAGCATCTTTGTATGTGTCCTGTACCTCTTCAGTGAGTTTGTTTAGAGCAGTATTTTCCTGTGAACTCTCTCTCTGATCCACTTGGCACTTTCTCTCTTCTTTCAACTGCCAATGGAACAAGCAAACATTCCGTATTATTGCGTTACTGTTCTAAATTTTGGAGTAGGTTAGATTTGTTTTTAAAGGAGTAGTTAGGAGTAGTAAGGTTTTTGATGAAAACATTCCATGATTTTTCTACATATAATGGACTTCAATGGGAACCAAACGGTTCAAGGTCCAAGGTCAAATGGTCGCCTTGCTCTGTTCTGTGATGCGCATTCATGACTCTCCTGTTCGAACTCGTTTATCAAAATGAACAAATCGTTCATTCAACGAACAAAATGAACGAGTTGACTCGGGAAAATATTTTTGTTCATTTTGACCATTCTCACCATTCTCAGCAAGGTGACCATTTGAGCTTATAAAACTTTTTTTTTTTTTTTAAATGAGTGATCGTTTCGCTTGATAAGATCCTTATTCATCGTCTGAAATCGTTTAAAGCCCTTTGAACAGTTTGCAGTTTGTACTGAAACTGTCTTTTTGACCTTGAACCGTTTGGTTCCCACTGAAGTGCATTATATGGAGAAAAATCCTGGAAAGTTTTCATCAAAAACCTTAATTTCTTTTCGACTGAAGAAAGAATGACATGGATATCTTGGATGAAATGGGGGTGAGTAAATTATCAGCAAAAGTTTTTTTTTAAACTACTCCTTTAACTGTTAAAAAAAAATTCTAATTAAAAAAAATAAATAAATTGTCATTAGTTTTCAGTGTCACATGATTCTTCAGAAATGCTATTTGGTGCTCAAGAAAAATGTCTTATCAATCTTATACAATTTAACGCATCCTTTTAGATTACTTTCATAAAAATCTTGACCCAAAACTTTTGAACATTAGTGTATAAAGGGACTTAAAAATGGAAAACAATATAGAATTGTTAATTCAAATTATATATATATATATGTAAATAAATTAACTACACGTTTTTTGTTGTTGGAATAATCACGTAATATTCAACTTACAACAATCAAATCAGGTGTCTTTGCCCTTTTGGGATGCACCGTCTTCAAAGCCGTGTTTTCTGTTTGTGTGGATCTCCTTTGTCCTCTCCACTGAGCTATTGGATCTTTTAAGTCTGTGCCAATGCAGAATTTGGCTTTGTGTTTATCCAAGAGTCCAGCAGAATGAAATGCCATGTTACAATTCTGACAAATTAACTGCCCCAAACCTTCCATCCCTCCAACAATTACTCCCTATTTAAACTTAAAACAAAACGTAAAAAAAAAAAAAAAAAAATAGGAATATACTTATGTTGGAACCTGGAACGTCTGCCTCAAGTTACATGTACTGTATTTGTTGACTGAAGTTTTGTTTGTTGGTTACAATCACCTTGGAGAAAGGGGAGTGGTGAAGAAAAGAGCAAGAGGAATCAAACCCTTGAATATTTTTTTTTTCATGCATATTTTAACATTAACTTGCTCTTCTAAAACATATAAAAAAAATTCTCAAGTGTTTCAGCAGAAAACGAAAGGCTGGACATGTTTGGCAAACTGATGCAAAATATTTATTACAATTCTTTTCTCTGATCTTTTCATTGTGGTGCAGTAGTTTATGCCTGCTTCGTCTCATACAGATAAACCCATACAAGGACACCTTTCACCTTCTCAAATCTGTAAATAATGTTATCAAAATAATCTTAATCTTCCAAAACTCACAATTTTTTATTCTTATATTTTTTTACAATCCACCCTGAATATCAAGGCTGCAGAAACAATATAATGCAAACAAAAGAAGAAGAAAAAAAAAAAAAACTATTTAAGTGGGAATTTTTACAGCTGTACCAAAATTAAAAAAGAAACTTAAATCTGTGATAAAGCAATTTTATACCCTATCAGAAAAAACAAGGTACAAAAAAAGGAGATGCACAATTTACACCAGCAGTCCCTCATGAAACAAAGAACTTTTAAAGATGGATCTCTACTTCCAGCAGCAGGGATAGAACTCAGCTCCCAAAATGAACGCTTTAAGGAACAACACATAGCAGAACAAAAAGTGCAAGCCATCTTACTGAATCGCTCGAAGAAAGTTCACAGTCATTACAAACCAGACATCGGATTAATTCCTGCATTGTAAACATTACATAAGCTCAAAAATGTTTAATGCCTTCTATTCCATTGGGTAGATTTTTTTTATTTATTTGGGATTTGTGAGGGAATAAGATAATCAAACCTTTCTTGTGTTTATTGAATACCTTATCAATACCCCTATCAATCCACATGCAATGAATGTAAAGCTTTGAAAATGATTGCCACAGCATTATTTCTAGAAGCACGAGAACGCTTTTTATAGAACTCGGAAATGTTCAGGATTTCAATATGGTTTAAATAAAACAGCTTTTAGGTTATTCAGGAAAAAAACAACAACCTTTATACCATATATGGGCCAGAAAGACAGTCGGTTTATGTTTTTTCGAATTTTTCCAAAACAAAACCGAACCTTAGTGAACTGAACATCTGTATATTCATCTGGCGTACCAGAATGCAACATTAACTTAGACCCTTCCATCCAAACTTTACCTTTATTCAAAAACCAGTTCCCAACAATCTCTTCTGCAACTAACTTTTAAACAAGCTTTAAGGTTTTTTTTCTCACATGTGTACTTGGCAGACATATGAAATCAGGTATATTAGTATGATTCTGCAGAATGAGAAGCGTGAAAATGAGCAGGGTTCGCTGAAACTGGAGCCAGAAATGGACTGATGTTCTAGCTGCCAGACTGCATGTGACAGTCCATTCAGTGTTGCTTTAGTTCTTCCTTGCTGCAGGGATGACTGGCTTGAGTTCATTTCTATGAGGGACAGTCAGCGGCTCACAATGATTGTTTCATCTTAACACTAATGCTACGAATTGTTTTCGCGAAAAGGAAAAAAAAAAAAAAGCTTTTAGAAAGGTGTCAAAGCCATTTTATAGAACATTCAGAATGATGTCATATTTCACGTTAAATCACGGTTATAATTGGTGTTATTATTATGAATTAGTCTTTTTCCCAAGCAAAACAAAAAAGATCTGGTGGAGGGGTGCATGTGGCTTTCTTTGACATTTCTAGTTCAGGATAAAGAACAAAAAGCAGACGAGGAGAGAAAAGAGGGGGATGGGGGATCAAACAAATATATCGCCTATGAGGTGACAAGTGATTCCTTTTTCTCTCCGCCTGGGATATGACCGATGTTCCTTGTCCATGAAAATAATCTTTTCTTTCTTCTTTTAGTTTGAAATAACTGGGTGTGATGGACGAGACAGATTGAGAGAAAGGGAGATGTGGGAGTGGTGGTTAAAGCCACATCAGGTATCATCATCATCAGAGGTCTGGCTGCTACTGCTTGTCTCAGATTCGGAGCCCTCTTCCAGGCCAGGGTTTGGGGTGTTCCTCCAGGTTAGCAAGGCCACATTACGTGGCTTCAAGAGCACACCATTACGCCCAAAACCAATCTTCTTCATCTGACACAAAACACACACATAATTATATATATATATAAATATATATATAGTCAGTCACTGAGGACGTTAACTATAAAATGTCCATGATGCACTTAATTAAGCAAAGAATTAAATTAAAATAAAAGTGACACTATATGTGATGCGATCTGGGAAAACCCGTCGGATGTCGCGCTGGTACGTAGATTGATTGTCAGTTTTTTGTCAAAATTGGGTTTTTATTAGATTATTATTCTATAACATCTTGTTTATCATCTCTGAATATATCTTGGGAAAATTCACTAGTTTAGTGCAGAAAAATAGCGATTTATAATGGCCAGCCGAAAAGACTGTGTTTCTCTTTAAGAACACGCAGGCGGTTCGGATGGGCAGCTCTCCTTCTCTTAACACTACAAAGACAGTTCACCTATCAAAATAAACCACATAACAGAATAAAGTCCAGTCATGGGTGAACTACAACATTAAGTTTTAATTTATTTATTTTTTTATCCAGCGTTATCATGTGGTGTGATGCGGAGCGAGAACAACAGAGTTTGAAGCTGCTCATTTGCCTCTGCCTCTCAATTGTCTAATTTCAAAACGGTTGAATTTTAAGTTCGTAAGCTTTCGAATGATGCATAATCTATGATGATTACCATGTGATATGAAAAAAAAGGCAATAAAAAAAGGGAGCGGCAGTTGTCTGACGACGTGACCGTTAATTAAACCTCAAAATTTAATTTCTGAAAATCATAGCGATCAGCCGACTTCAGATAACCATAACTTTTGTTACAGACAAACGATAAAAGAAATAAAAACAGATTTGTAAAGGGCTTGAACCCAGCATTCATATGGTCTCAAAACCTGAAATATGTCAAATTTCACCATGAGGTGGATTTTCCCAGATCGCATCACATATGCATTTCTCATACCTTTTCAGTTTTAGCTTGAAACTCTTTGAGTTCGTCTTCAGTGAGGGGCTGGAAGTTGTCATCATTTTCTGGGTATTCTTGCCATCCCATAGCCTTCAACAACCTGTCAGAGAGGATCCACGTGTGAATACATGGATTACGGATATTGTCTTGTTGCGCAGATAAATTTGTGGCTCTGTTTAAAAACCTAGCGTGCTGCCTATGGAGGCAGCATTACATCTTAAGTGTGCTTCCAAATTATCAAAGATGGCATTGAAAGTATCCTTCAAGAGGAAATCAAATCTCAAATAAACTGCAATGAACTGAGTGAAAACAAATTATTGTGGTTGAACCAAGGGAAATTTGCTTGCAAATAAGCTAATTCCTTTTTTTAAATTAATTAAAAGCATTAAGATTAAAAAAAAAATGCATTCCATTATCAAAAAGTAAAAATGCATTATATTATCATAAAATTAAAACTGTATTTTTATGCTTTGAATTTTGCAGTGCTAGCTTGGCAACATGCATGGGAAATGCTATTTGTATATGTAGTTGCCCATGTAAAGCATTCCAAATCCATCACTTCTGACATACCATTTAAGCAATTAGAAGTCATTTGCATATGTAGACGGAACACTAGGTTTTGGAACTGAGCTTATATGTGTCCAGTGTGTTGAAGTGTGTGTGTATGAGATTGCTCTGACCTGTGCTCCGCCTCCAGAGAGCTGGACAAGTGCTCTGGGTCTGAGTCACTGAGAGAGTGGGAGATGCCATTCTCATGACTCTTACCAAACTCTTTTAGTTCAGGGGTGCTTCCCTCTCCCTAAACACAAAGATAAAAATCACAAACAAAGGCTTTAGCAAACACAAATTTGAGGCAGGACAAAATCCATCAACTGCTTAGTGAAGTGTTGTTATTGTTAACTACAACTATTTCTATTACACCCTGATAAAGGCCTGTTTGCGTTAGTGTTTCTAAAAAAGTAGCCCCTCTAATTAAGGCTTTTAATACCAAAATCTATGACAGTGCCTGGATGTAAGCTCTTATTTTGCAAGGAAATATCCACTAAATATTTCCAGAGCACCCATAGTTTTTCTTTTTTGAGTACTAGATGTGTTCTTGGATTTTTTTTTTCCTGCACTATTAAAGTGTTTTTGTTAATTGAAATAAAATAAAGTTTAAAATTTAGATGTAAAACTAAAACCTAAATGAAATATATATATTTATTCTTTTTAAACTAAAACGAGAACTAGAAACATAAAAACAAGATAATTCAAAATATATTAATACATATAAATATATATCAATATTACACTGGCTTAATGAATACAAATTGAAACCATGAAAATCAGCAATAACTAATGCATCATGTTCAAGCAGAGAAACACTATAACGTAACTGATGTAAGCATGAATATCTGTGCCAATCATAAAATAACAGACAGCAGATCAGAGATGAAAACATCTGCACCTCTGCTGGAGCTCCTGGGCTGTGGCAGTCACTCATATCCCCATTTCTCTCATCCTTTAGTCCACGCAGGAACTCACTCTTACGGTCTGTGCTGCGGCGCATCAGTTTTAGCCTTGAGGGGGTGATGTCTATGGGAGGGGTGGTGCTGGAGGGTGGCTATGGAGAGAGAGAGAGATAAATATAAATGCTGGGTAAGCAGACATGTTGATTATTGATATTCTCCTATGGATAAACAAGATAACATTCTGGTGTTTAACGAATATTGGAGAATGCAGAGATTATGTAGTAAACATTTTTCGTTCAATCACTATCTATTTGTGTATTTGGCATATGTCCACAATTGTACAATGATACAAGGAAAGAAATTGTTGACATAAAGCCAACCACTATCATATTTAGGAATATCAGGTAACAGTTCCTTATTGGCAAGAGATTAAAGGGAACTTTTTATAGGGAGAATTTACCACACAAAAAAAAACTTTCCAATGTTGATAATATTTCACTTGATAGGTGGAACAACAAAGATAAGAAACTGATGTTGATTCTCCATGTAACTAGCAAAGGCTACAAGAAAACAGAGACACCTTAGTGATGGAATCGTTAAAGATCCAGACAGAAGAATCTTTTAGAATATGGAGTAAATGGACTGAATACATTAAACCTATAAAATCAGACTTCTATTGATTTGGAAAAAGGTGTTTATTGAACGGTAAATGACATTGACCAATAGGAGCATAGAAGCTCTTTCGTACACAGCTTTTAAACATGGCAAAACGAAAGAGAGATGATGGTATTGGTGCTGCCTGCTGGAACTATGCAATGGAGGACACCTTCTTGGAGCTTTGGCAACAACAGTCCTCTTTGTCCAATCTTGGGGTCTCATTTATAAAACTGTGTGTAGGATCCTAATTAATTAATTGCACTTGTGATAATATCACATATGCACATAATATTTAATAAAGTTCGGGGTTTACGTTAACCGAATTACATTCGCGTGCTTCATTGCACAGGTTTTGCCGCTTTACTTGGTGATATAAGGTTACGCTTGCAGTGTGCAGTCTTGGCCGCCGTAATTTTCCTTATAAATGCTCCACGAAGGCATTATTTATATATTTTGGAATGCAGTTGGCTTATATATTAAAAATATGAAAATCACTGAGGCTGCTTTCATTTTAAAATACTTACGCGCACTTTGTAAAGAGCGCTCGCGATTGTGGCTGTGAGTTACTCATTGGTTAAATGTACTTGCATCTCAAAATGCTTTTATGACGCGAAATCATTGTAAACACGGTCAGTCATATCTTAAACCAACAGGACAAACCACATCTACAATTTCAAAAGAGATATGTGCATTAGTGTGAATGCAGCTTATCGTATCTAAACTGATGGGGAAAATCTCTCCAGCTCTTAAATGAAAAACATTCAGACAGCCTACTTTTAAACAATGAAAGCACTCTTTGTTTATCGCTTGTAATGCTTTTTTTTGTTCCTCTTTATTTACTAGCTTTTATATTTTGAAGCTATATTAGTTTATATAGCCCATTTAAAATTCTGAACATGTAATTGGTTTAATTAAATGTTTTTTATATATATAGTTTTAAAGTATGTATTTTTACACATGAAATTAAATACATATTTTAAGTGTTAATAAGATTAATTAGAAAAAAAGTAGATTGGATCATGAGCTGCCAAAAGATTCCCATCCCTACTTTACAATGATTTATTGTAAAGAACTTATTAAGTAATATTAGCAAGTCTTTGTTGACTAATACAGAAGGTAAAGAACTTAAAAAGTAATATTAAATTACAATCGCAATATTTGTATATATATATATATATATATATATATATATATATAAATAAAAAACAAATAAATAAATAAATAAAAATTAAAAAAAATCGCAATTAGATTATTTTCCATAATCATTCAGCCCTACAACCTACTAATAAAAAAATAATAATAAAAAAAAAAACAGCCTCCATGGCTGACTGTCATTTTACCTCTTTAGAAGTGCCATGGGCAGGTGCACTGACAGGTGTCAGAGGTTTGGTCACAGACACAGGGCTGGTGAAGGCTGAATCCCGTCCAGAGAAATGCAAACCCACTTTAGTTTCCCTTCCATTGGGTTTCCATGGTCCAGACTATAAAAAAGACAAAGGTTTTATTTAAACGAAAAAAGACAATTGCCCTAATATAATAAAAACAACATTAGAAAAAAACTTCACCATAAGTGATGTAATTCAATAAGCTAGTCTAAAAAATTACAAACATAGCTCTACCTTGGTGGGGGCAGTGGCAGGTTTGGGCACCAGATTCTTGTAGACACTGGGTCCAGTGATGGGGACTTTAGAACCATTGGCGGACAGAGGGCCAGCACTGGCGAAGCCAGCAGAGAAAGCAGCACTGGGGTCCTCCTTAGACACTTTCTTAATGACCAGCATCTTAGACATAGCCTGCTTAGCACTAGGGGGGTTCTCTGCAACAGAAGTTGAAAAAAAAATGTTCAAAACAAACCAATAAATGTAACAATATTTTAATTAGTGATGGGCATTTTTCAAAAATATTGCATTCGAATATTCGGGCTCATTAAAATTGAATATTCATTTATTTAAATGACGTTTAATGAAGAAGATGTTATCTTAAGTTTATTTTATTTTTTTTTACCTTTTTGTCACCATTTCTGAACAAGCTGATTATTAGGCAATACACACAACAAGCTTACAATATATGTTAAACGTTTTCTTTTAGTTGAAAACATTAAACAGTAGGCCTATATGTAAACAAAAAATCTAAAGAACAAAAGCATGCTCAAGTAGCGCGAACGGAAAAAAAAAGCCTAATAAAGCAGATTGCGCCAGATATCGTACAGAATATCTGGAGCTTTGTTGACAGACGTTTCAGAGACAAAATAACAGTGTTCTAAGTTTGCGTTTTCTGTTTTTAAACCAGTTTCCCTTAACGAAACTTAAAGGAAGTATAAGTCTCTATTAGATAAGTTATCATCTTGCATCACGCAGGGTCCAGCTGTGCTTACCTGCAGTCGTGATGGACAGCTGTCCACCATCTGAATTTCATGTGATTTCTCATTGTGGTGATGTTATTATAACTCAAATTAATTAACTTGATCATAAGTAATTCCATTTAGTAAGATAATTTAAGTAATTCCAAACACACTCCACAGCGCCACCCAGTGCATTTAATTATAACTGTGAGTTAGTGCTTGGGATGTATCATGGATTTACGCATTTACGACCAGCAAAGCAATGTAGTAAAATTCGAATAGTATTTTATTTTTCGAATACTAATTACAGATCGAAAATTCAAATATTCGTGCACACCCCTAATTTTAACTCTATGCAACTGGAACATGGTGACTCGATAAACAAAAGCAACTTTACCCCATACTCCTGCTGGAGTTCCGACAGCACGAGGCTGACTTGCTGGCTTTCCAGTCGTCTCTGGGTTCAAGGAGGGCTAAAATTCATATGAAAACAGAAGGCATGAATGCAAACTAACTATGCAGTCAACTCATTAAAAGGCATGTAAAGAATGACATAAGTAAACCGCTTTAATGACATAAGCAGTGAACTCATGCCTGGTATGGGTGTGACTTCAGTCACTACACAAGTAAGCAAATACTTACAAAATCCTCATCAACAAACTTGAGTTTGTCATCATTGCGCTCCTCATCAGAATATCTGTCCTGATATGAGCCACCTTTGCGTGGATGAAAGTTTCCATTACGTTGTCGGTGGCCTCCCTGTCGGTCCCTTTCACCTCCACCACGTTTGATATGCCTAGCATGGTGGTGGTGAGGACCTTCCTGGCCCCTCGGTACCCCATGCCAGCTGGGGGTCTCCTTCCACCCTGGTCCGCCTCCCAATCCCCCCTGACTCCCCTTCGCAACACCAGAGTCTACAGAGTCATGCCTCAATAGAGATGGCTGCTGCCACCCATCACCTGAAGAGAAAATTAATAGCCATTACACAGGGCAGGTCAAAAACCAGGTTAACTCTGCATGTGGAGGAAGTTAGATGTGTGTTCAGCAACCTCCAGGGGCTCTTAGTGGGTCATTGTTGAAGAAGCCATCAGAGGAGTTGTGTCTGCGACGGTTAACTCCCGGCCGGCTGTCTCCGCGGGGAAAGTGCTCTCCATGCTTCTCAAGGGGGGCAGCAGGGGACTGGAAATAAATAAATAAATAATTAAATAAAAATAAGTAAAATAAATAACAGACAGTTTTTACTTTAAAACGCATATTTTAGAAAAGAATGATTAGGGTCAAGAGAGCTAAGAGAGTCCTTTGAGTAAAGCTGTACTGATTTTTTTTTTTTAATGCACAGTCAATATAAAGTCAACAATCCATTACAATACCTTGGCGGGCTGAGGCGTGGAGAAGTTAAGCCAGGCAGGAACAAAGTCATGCTGCGCCATTTAGGTCCAGTGTCTCCCGTCAGTGGATGGAGGCATCAAACCTCATGGCCTGAACTGACAATGCAAGCAACAAACATCACATCACCAATCAACATAATCTACTGCAATACCTCCCATATCCCATTAATGCAAACACATTTAAAGTCAGCATGACATGGAAATTGCAACTGTGTTTTTATTAAGTATTATTATATCTGATCAAAACTGCTTTTTTACCTTAAAAATGCAGGGTGGAATTTTATTTTGACTGGATACTTGTCCTTTGCTAATTTCTGCATGTGAGTGACAGGTTGGTGGAGGGGAAGTATTAAAACTCATCTGGCCATTAATTGCCCAGCATTTAGGTCAGTGTAAACATCATCATTCTTGATGTTGTTGCGAGGACATTAATGTTTTTGATAAAAGATTACAAGGGCATATGAAATGATAATGATATGCATGGATAAATCATTTATAGTAAGCTGCAATATTTATAGTACTGCAATATTCCATAAAGTGAAAAAAGTGAAATATTAGCAGCAATAAAGCAGCAAAATGATGGTTTTCAAACAATTTTGGAATGTAACCCCAATCAGCCAAAGGTCAGGAAAACAGATAAGTCTTCACCTGAAACTCATGTCACTGGTTGAGCCAATGTTGGGAAGTCAGGCTGAAGAGAATAGGCTATGTTTTGAAAACATGACAGGGCCAGTGTTTCCACATTTCAGAGAAATCAACCCACAAATGGCTTGCTTGCAGTTATATATCTTCCATGCATTATATATTTCATGCATGGTATTCCAAACATATTTTTTACCTTTAAAATGCTTTAAATGTAAAAAATATGTTTGGAATACCATGTATAAAATATGCCAAACAATTTGAAAGATATTACTGAAAAATGTGTCTTTAGAAATCACAACTGTGATGTCCCTTGGCTCTATACGATGATTTCACGCAGGTGCCATTTTGAAATCTAAAGCGAGGCTCCGGTGGGAAGAACCCCTGAGGTACAGATAGACAACAATGCCTTGGACAACCAACCTGAAGCTGCTGCCGCGATTTATAATATTGGATGTTAATATCCAATATAGGATATGTAGACAGTTCGTTCATGCTTTTTTTCACGTTCTGAATTATATATATTAAAATTATTTTATTTATGAATTACTTTCACTGTATATTATCTAAAAAGTACGAAAGAAATGTGTGTACATTTTTAGAATAACTCATTTCTACATTAAACACAACAATACGCCATTGCATTCACATCTCTCTATGATTAAAGGCGCCATTTACGTTTTTTTCCCCCACCGAAGCCATTTAAAAATTGCGGCTGCGTGAAATCAGCATATACAGACAGAGTGAGGGAGCTGGCCAACATATTTGAACCTATAAGAAAATCACTTGAGTGGACAGGTAGGGTTTAAGTGGAATAACATGATGAAGTAACAACATTTTGATTTAAACATTGAGGTGAAAAAATGGGTACCACTTGACAATAAGTTTTCATTAGTTAATGAACTAATATTAAACTGCACTTAAACTTTATTAATCTTTGTTAATGATAAGTTCAACATTTACAGTAACAAATGTATTGCTCATGGTTAGGTTATGCAAGTTAAAACTTTTACTAATTTTAACAAATGAAAACTTATTGTAAAGTGTCATCACATTTTTTTACATTTTTATATTCCATGTCTTTTTAAAGACAAGCTAGCAGTTTCTTCTCTCTTGGCCTTGATGTGAACAACAGTATTTGTTTAGATTTATCACAAACAAACTTGAAAACAACTAATTGTACTGAATGGCAAATCTCACATTTCATTACATACTGTAAGAGGGAACTAATTCAGAGTGCAAAATAAACAATATCAAGGAACGTTCTGACTAAATGTTGTGGCTTCTTACCCCAGAGACAAAGGCTCTGTAGTTCGATGGCCCTGTCCTTGGCTGTGTCTTTGTAGAGGGCCCAACCGACGCACTTTCACAGGCTTTGAAGCCTCAGGACAACCACAGCTCCTGCCACAGGCAAACTCCAGTTTCCAGGAAAGTGCAAAGAAGGGGATGGAAGTGAAACTTGTGCAGCCCAAGGTAAAATTGTTAGGTGATGGAAAAGATGGTGACGTGTTGTTTTTGATCAATGGCGTGTAGTTGTGGACGAGTAGCGTATGCGTTTGATCTGTAATGCCAGAGTGACCCTCCACGACACCCTTAGTTCACCGACGATGACAGTGTGCATTCAGGGCGACCGGATACAAGTCCAGTCTCTTATTCTGGGGGCTTGTGGTGGCAGCACGGTGTGCCTGCTCGGACACTCAAAAACTCCTTTACGAACTCATTTTCGGCTGAAGACACACACAGCGACAAAAAAAACGGAGAGTGGGTTTGTACCACACAATGCTGGTTTGCGGAAAGTGGTGATCTGAATATATTCACCTCATCAAAACAGCGAAGGTGCTACGTCAGGGCGAAAAGGGGAGGGGGGCTGATTTGTCACATCACAATAGCTAGAAGTGCTTTATGTTATAAAGTCATGAGAATTGCTTTAGCCTTCAACAGCTCATACTTTGGATGCTTCAGTGAACCAAACAATGAAAACTTGACATCTTTAATTATCGGCCCACATGGCTGATAAATGGCTGGTGAACCAATATCACGTTAGGCTACCGAAAAAATTGGAAGTAAATATGATTTGCCTCCTAACAACACTTCCAATCTTCCAGATCATCAAATCAGAAGAAACTTCCACAGGCGAGTAACTTGAAGCCAATTTGCACAGATTCTGGTTAAACACGATGTACCGTGCATTGGGGATTCAAATGAAACTCAATGACAAAACACAAGCGTCCAGGTGCAAGCAAACCTTAAACATTCACTGTGAAATAACAGGTGTACTCCAGATTGTATTATTTCATCTTGGGAAATCTTGGGTCTCTTAAAATCCTGCAGTCACAAATCCAACAGGTCTTTCTTCCTCCAGATCTTCACAAATAATCTGCAGACCAATTCTGTAAAATAGCAAGCAATATTTAGATCAATTTATGTCATATAAATAGACCAAAATTCATGTTCATATGTCCCAAATGCTGTCTTTGAAACAACCACCAAAGCATAAAAAAAGTTTGGCAGGGCAATAAGCTGCCTTGACAGGTTACAAATGTGCTACTTTAAAGGGAATAAGCATTCTGCTCATTATTTACTCATCCATAATCAACATGTTGTTACAAACATGCATGTTTTTCTCCCTTAGAAGAATATGTATGATAATAGGCAGAATGACATATTTTGTAACAACTGACTTATTATACTACATGGAAAAAGAGCGTGTTGAAGAGTGAAGACTGAGGCTGTGAGTCTACTATTCTGACAAACATCTCTTTTGCTCATCTGAAAACCATACAAGTTTGAAACAAGAGAGAGAGAGAGAGAGAGAGAGAGAGAGAGAGAGAGAGAGAGAGAGAGAGAGAGAGAGAGAGAGAGAGAGAGAGAGAGAGAGAGAGAGAGAGAGAATTATGAAAATAAATGTCATTTTTGAGTGAGCTACCCTTTTAACGTGGCGAATCATCCCCTTACCCGGGGACTTTATATGACATATGGCCATACATTTTATAGCTAACATTAAAGCAAAATAAACAATTAGTTTGTGTAATGCAAAACAAATTAAAGTGAGGGAAACTAAAAGCAGGGTTAAGAGTTAACTGCAGGATATGAAGTAGAAATGACTTTGAGGAGAGGATAAATATTTGTGATAATAGCAAACCAATAACGTTACTTACTATGCTCGTCCAAACGTTCTAGCGCATACAGTAACGTTAGTTCAACATACCAAGACAATTTCGCAAATTACGAGTAAATAGTCATTCGTTTTACTACTTGCTGAACACTCGCTAGCACGGCACAGCTAGCATAGTAGGCCATTCGATGTGTGCATAAACATTTTAGCCCACGGTGACTGGTTAAATTTAAACTTTTCAAAGCAAAGAAACTTTTAGGCTTCATCAGACGGCTAACGTTACATAGGGGGGGAATTCTAACGACTCCGACTTGTGTTGTGACGAAATACGTGTTGTTTTAGCCACGGCGCGAACTAGGCTAAGCTAGCATCCCGAGCAGGAATAAAGTGTTGTAAAATGGCTCCCTCTCGACACCAAACCAACCAAATAAACATTTCGTTATACGCTTACCTTTTGATCCCTTGTCTATCCCAATAACTTAATCAAAGACAACGATGCGCCGCTTGTCAAGCCAATTTGACATTTGGAGGTTGTCGTATATCTGATTATGTATTTTGTTTGTGTTTTTAATCACACTCGTTCCGACTTTGCCAATCCGTCTCTAGCTTGTTCCTGTCTACTTCTGCACAGACGAGCTAATCGATCTCAGAGCACAGAGCGCTCGACGCGTCATAACATTTCTGCCCCAGCTCAAGCCAGCTGGAAATAGTCTCTTGAGAGGGCTTGAAACACACAGTGCGCGGACTTTTTTAGGTTTGCAAGTTGCAATTATACTCGTGAAATATATTTTGGAGTTAAATGGTTACAAAAACTTATGTAAACAACATGGCAAAATGGGCGGAAATGCAAATGAGCTCTACCAAAAAGCATTTGAGTCCACGGTGTCTGAGTTCACAGGCATTTGTACACGTGAAGTAATGTAAAACTATTTAATAATAATAATTAAAAAAATAACCAAAATTTGATGTGCACAACATACCAAATAAGGTAAACAGCACATTCCTTTTTTGTTGCACAAACAGTATGTCGTTCAGTAAATAAGGCTAATGTAATATATATATATATATATATATATATATATATATTATATATATATTAATTTGGAAAATAATAATTGGATATATAATAATACGTAAACAAGCCTTTATATATTTGTACTTTTCTTGCATATATTTTAAATAATAACATCTGATATCTAGTGGATTTAAATAAGGTAAATTCATACAAACATCATAAATAAATAAATAAATAAATAAATAAATAAATTCGAACTGTGAATGGCTATGATAATGTCCAACACGTCGCTGTCTTGTTCTTTATATTACACATAAAAATCCTTCTGTGCAATGCTCTGTGCCAGTTTTCTTCTCTTGATCTGTCTTCCACTGCCCCCCCCCCTTCCTGAATTAATTTTCAGTCACACTTGACCAAAAATAATATACATTTTTAAATGTAATACTTAATTAAATTTAGTTAAGTGTACATGAAACTCCATTTGTTTTACACTCCATTCTCATGAGACTCCATCACATTAATGCATTTAATTGGAATTTAAATACAATCCGGACTCTTTCCGTAGGACTTTTATAAGAACTTCCAGTCATTTTGCGTGTTCGGATGTGTCTGGCTTCACATTTCCACACGCGTTGTAATGACCTTCTGCTGTCTAAATCTATGTTTTATAATTTTAGGACGTTATAGTATGAAATCAAGGTATGTTTTAATACGTTTAATCGAATACTGTTACTGACATACGATATTAAACCACTGCCTGTGCGCTTTTAGCTTTTATAATGTATAATTCAGTTCCAACTTGGCATCCGATGTGATTCCAGACAGCAACTGTCCGTAAACGACTGATTAATATTGTCATTTATTTATTTGATTTGCAGGTAAAATGCTGGCCAGTATAATCGGACGTCACATCCTTGGCAACTTTGGGGTGAGTGAAACATTTCACCCGTCTAATTTTCTTTTTATCCTATAATTTTTCTAATTTTGTTTATATATTTATGCGTGTTTCCGTCAGGAATAACACTCCGTGTTATCTAAATGTAATATCTCTTACATGTTATGTATTTTATTTGAATTTTGTTTAAAGAGAATCCTTATCAAGATGGAAGAAATTGTTTTAATTCACATTTGTTCTTTGTTCAGGTGTCCAGAAAGTTTGCCTGTTTAGGGCAGTGGACCACTCATTGTTCAACACGGTTCACTAGAGGTTTATATGGACAGTTGCCCCCAAGACATGTTGCTGGTGCCGTTCTGGGAGTTCAGTCATTTCACTGGTCTGGTCAGAGACCGAAAAAACGGCCACAGGAAGAGAGTCCACCAAGAGAACTGGATTTGCTTCGTTATGACATGAGAGACCTAAAGAAAGCTCCAAAGCCGGCCCTCTTTCTTGGATTTTCTGGTCTAATACCTTTTGTATCCGCTCCTCTACTTATGGCTGTCACGGAACAGTATCTTCCCGAAGTTGCATTTGCTCAAGTTGCATACGGAGCGTCCATTGTTTCCTTTCTTGGTGGGGTACGCTGGGGTTTCGCCTTACCTTCTGGAAGTCCAGCAAAACCTGACTGGCTCAATTTAGCCAACAGCGTGGTTCCTTGTCTGATTGCTTGGACAGCACTCCTTTTTTCCCATGACATTACACAGTCTGCTGTGCTTGTGGTAATGGGGCTCGGGATATCATTGCATTATGACCTGTCCCTCATGCCTACATACCCCAGCTGGTTTAAAGCACTGAGGACAATCCTCACAGCTGTTGCCTTTTTCTCCTTGATAGGCACTGTTGTCATTAAGCAGTTTTATCCTGAGAAAAAGTATCTCCCTGATAAATGATTTAGGCATAACTGTTGGCTAATGTCAGTCCATCGTTATAAAACATGTTAAAAGTGACTAATAATGTTTTGCATCAAATCTACACCATGTTGAATCACTGAATCTTTCTTTGTTTTCATTTCTGACTCCATTCTCTCACTTTTTTTGATAAAATATCCATTTGGCTTTCTATTTTTGACGGGTTGGCCAAATTCCAGTAATGAATTCAAATGACAATGGACAGTTTTTCCTGACATTTAATATAACTTTGCACACTGCCAGTTAGATTGTGAAATGTCAATATTTAAAATTATGTAAAATAAAATTAGAATTGTATGTTTATAGATTAGAATTAGTGTTTAATGTTCTGTTTTGTTGGAATTTATAGGAGTTTCTGTTATGTCAGGGGCGGGTGGTAGTGCTAAAGAGTAGATGTGGTTAGGGTGAGGATTTAGCAAAGGCTGTGATCACAGGTGGGCACAAATACATAAAAAAATCCTAATACTTAATTAGAGTAATCAATTGTATTTAAATACAATACAAAATACTGTTAAAACAAAATATTTTATTAAAATAAAAGTAATTTGAAAATAGAAACAAAAGCAGTTCCCTGACCAACGAACGAACAGCTTATGATTACGATTCAGGCAACATTATAGGTCAGATCAGAATATTATCAGGTTCCATCTGTTCCATTCCTTACATGTAAGTATAGAATAGCAGAATATCACTGTTTAGTGTTGATGTGATTGTAACGTACATGTTGCCGCATACTGTCATAATAAAAGATCATTACGACTGCCAGTCTGCCACCAGGTGGCGAATTCCGAGAGTCCGAATTTCGTGTGCAGTGGAAAGGCGGCTTTACATTGATTTAAAAAGATTAGTACATCCACACATGAAAATTAGCCCATGATTTATTCATCCTGAAGCCATCCTAGGTGTATATGACATTATTCTTTCAGAAGAATACATTCAGAATTTTTAAAAAATGTCCTGGCTCTTCCATGCTTTATAATGGGAGTCAATGGCTGAATGTCTTTTTAAGTCCATCAAAGTGCATCCATTCATGATTAAAGTGCTCCATGCATCTCCAGGGTTTACTAAAGGCCTTCTTAAGTGAAGCGATGCATTTGTGTAAGAAAAATATCCATATTTAAAACTTTATCGACTAAAACAATAGCTTCCAGCAGACGGCCGTACACTTGTAATTAAAATTCTGCCCATCTCTGGCTGTAATTCTTTGAAGGGCGCGAAGATCTGACTGAGAATTGTCAAATGGGATGGTCTCGCCTATGAGGAGTGTTCTTGTTGCCTAGAAACTGTGACAGCTGCCTTGTGCAGTTGATGAGTGGCAGTAATGTTTGTACTGGACATGTTTGAAAGTTATGTTAAATGAAAGTTATATATAATGAGTCAACATTTAAACCGCTTTAAAGTTTATTTATTTACGTATTATTATTATTATTTTTTACATTTGTATCATTAGATTTTTGAGTCAGTTGAAACCCAATCTCTCTCTCAAAAAAATAAATAAAATAAAAATAAATAAATAATAATGTTGTCACTGGAATGCAATGAATTCTGGGGCAGACAAGGCCACAAAGAATCCATCTGTTTATTCAATGAAGGATGCATTTGGAGGCCACATTTTAAGGAACCTTCAAAATGGGACAGACTTCGTTGTGACTCAATGACGCAATCGGCCTTCGAAGGTGGCCTTTGAAATGTGACACAGCTATTTGCTTATTTCTTTAGTACATGCAGGAGTGCTTGTGTTTTTGCCAATTAGTAATTAATTAAATACAATATTTGAGTTAATTTAAAGGTTTCAGATTTTAAGGCAATTGGTTTCCTTAAAAGCTTTGAGTTGCCCTAACTCGTTTTGTTTTACAGTGTATACTGCTAAAAGTTTTTCAGTGCTTTATCTATTTTTTTTTTTTTTTACTGTAGGCTAGTGTACACTATTTGTTGGCAACTATACAACAAAAAAGTAAGATTTCTAAGAGATTCACCTTTCGAGAATCTACCAAAATACACTGTTGCACATTTAAAATGATTGTTTCTCTCATGTTTCTTTTTGAGGTGCCCCACGCTCCTCCAACATCACAATTTTTATAATACAAGCCAAAAACCTGCCTAATGGCTTCGTTCATCAATGCAGAATTGAATTCAGTGCTCCCTATTGTGACACATTCAGTCCACATAAATCACACATGGCGAACTTGTCATTGAGTATAATGTAATATATTTAATAATAAGAAAAAATTAAAATTAAGTCTCTCACGGGTTCCCCCTCTCAATCAAAGACGTTCAATGTTTAATGCAGAATTACAATGTAATAATTGTTATCGAAAAAGCACCACTAGTCTCAGCAGATGGCAGCAAATACTAAGTAAAGTCGTATTTCACCAAAAACCGATCTTTTCTCCATCTCTTTTTTTTCTTGCCCTCTTAACCATTGGAGGATCAGCCCTCCGGTGTGCAACGCAAGACTCCCCCACTTGACTCTGCTCATACAGACTGAACTGAGATCAGCGCTCTAGTGTATTTGCGAGACACCCCACTTAGACTCTGCTCGTACAGACTGAACTCAGATCAGCATTTGGCGCGCACCCACCGTCGTTCACTCGATGCGAGCTTCAGGAAGCTGCTAGGTTTCCTCCCCGGAGAAAAGCAACGACATGGACCGGCTTTAATTAGCAATTATTTCTACCTCCGAGCCGTTTACCTGCTACGGCATGGTTTGAAGAGTGAAGTTGGAGGAGAAAAGCGGAGCTTCGTGCCCGCATGATATAATGATCCTTATCAAAACAGAGCTCGCGAGCGGCTCTAGACCTGACTCACGAGAGACACGATGAACAGTTGAGCTCGCGCTGTGTTGTGGCTCCGCGGAAAAGTATCTCGTCAGTCGTCAGTCTGGCGGTTGGCTGAATGAAAAACAAAAAACAAAACGCGGTTCCTAAGGTTTTTTTAATGCCCGAGGTAACTATGGAATGCTAAACTATCAGTTTTCAGTGAAGACAAATCAGCTGGGTCATTGGAAACTGCAACAACCACGTTGGAAACGCGGCTTTTTTTTAACGTAATGGTGACCTGTCGTAATAGTCTCACATTGACAGACACGAGACCGGCGAGTTTATTTACATAACGTAATGTTTATAAACAGTCCATTTTGTTTTTGTTATTTTGCGGATGTTGTCAAACTTTATCATCAGACAGTTAGCGAGCTAAGTTAGCGAGTTCCGCCGGCTGATTTGCCGCGCTAAACTCGCATAGTTTAGTTGCATAAAACTGAAGACAGTAGCTTATTGGAAGCGAAAACTGATGGGCTGTCATGGCAACTTGGATTGTTACTTAAGGTCGAGACGAGAGATCAACACAAAAGCCACGGTGTCGAACCTGCTGTCACTGTCTTTGTGTTTGTGGGCCAACGTTGAGGAGAGGTTTGGTCACCATGTATCAGAACTAGACCTGTTTCACCATATAATGCACTGACCATCGGATTCATCGATACAATACTATTGTAGATTATCTCTCAACCCCCATCCATCAGAATGAAGGGAACCGAGAGCAAAAACAAAAGGAAACTCTGCACCTCTGAGCAGCGGGAGAGCAGCACTGAAGGGAAAGACGAGGTGAGTGATCTTGACTTGCACTGAAAAGTGGACCCGTTTTAACACAGATACATTGCATGTTTATTTTAAAATGCACGGTAAACGTAACACAATACAAATGCAGTCCTTTTAGATAGTGGTGCATGTGACGCAGCTGCCATGCATAATGAGCGCAGTGCATTCATTCAGACCATCCGTGAAGAATCTGCTTACAGGTCAAGTGCATTATGGCATTGAACCATTTCTTAGCTACTAAAATCCCTAATCTATAATCTAATATATAGTGAAAGCAGGAGTAGTATACAGATAAAAAGTGTAAGGTCGCCATGCTTGTGTGTAGTACTTACTTCAGCTGATGATGAATTAACTGTCTTTTTTATTTTGTTTAAATTATTATATAGCTAAGACTAGTTTGTTCCATTGCATTATATTTCAGAGTGATGGAATATTATTAAAAACAATACACACCCAGGAAATCATCAATGCACAATGGGTTTTATGTGTGTTTCTATTGTCTGTTATTAGCTTTGTACACTTATTCGAGTAAGTTTATGGGACTTGCTCAAGTTTATTACCCACATTATATTTGTTTTGCAAGAGTTTTATTGGCTCCTTGTTTTCTGACAATGTGAGTCTTGTGTTATCATTGACGGTGATAGGACAGAGTGACACTGGAAGGAAATTCAAAGTGGCTGTAATTAAAAAAAAAAAAAATCCTTAGTGAGGGCATACAATGAGAAATGATGCAAGACATTGTTCCAAGATTGTTCAGAGAAGTACAGACTAGATTTAAGTAAGAAATAGTGAGATCTTAAAGTTGTTTGTGAACATGAGTTTCTCATATATCCAAATTTCTTGAACATACATTGAACATAGTCTTTGAACTGCATTAGTCTGGTCAAGCATTATTTTGTTTTTGAACTATTAAAATGTTTGGCTCCTATTCACTCTTGATATTTTGGCACGTTTTTTATACCAGTCACATTGTTGTAACTAAGAGGAAGTCAAATTTAGTCACTATGTGACTGTTTTGTTTTTGTATTTAATGTTATTCACTGTTCTGATGACATACAGTAAAGGGAGTGGCACAGGTCAGGTGAGCCATTAGATTTCTTTCTAACCTGACCCGGATGGCACAGTGACCTAGAGTGCAGAGATCATCTCTTTTTTGTTGCACTTTCTGAGACGTAAAATCCTGTATTTCCATGCTTTTTGCCCCTTTAACGTGCTGCATGGCTTTTTGTCCAAAAGTGCAGGTGCTTAGTTTGCAAGACATGGTGTAGAGTAAACAATAAAACCACCTGACAAGTATTCTGACATGCAAGTTTCAGATTTTTTAAGGAAAATGTATGCTTAGTAATCAGCCTACAGTAAACGATTCATTTCCAACATGACAGAATGTGAAAATAACACCTGAAAGAAAATATCTTCCAATTTATTGGGAAAAAAAAGAAATTACCATAATCCATGCTTTAGGTTTATGGAAGTTTTCAACTGGATTATAAATTGTGATTACAGTTGCAATGCAAAACAGTGCATTTATCAAGAAGGTGCACTGTTCAAACTATTGATTGATTTTGCTATGAACTCCACAGCACCCTTTTGATTCTTTCTTTTGAATGCTCTCCTTGTGCAGTAAATATTTTGTCCAGTCCTATTTTACTGTAATTCAGAATTGGAATGCACATCTTATAAGGTTTGGCTTTGGCTTCTGTTTCTTGACTTCATGCACTCAGTTTTTTTTTCTTATAACCTTTCAGTGGTGAGCTAAACATCTGTGGTATTCAGCTTTGTTTTAAGAGTTCCTCTCCCTGGTAGACATGAACTATGTTTTAAGAGCTCTTTGACAAGCAGCACAGATGGCTTGTGCTGGTGCAAAAAGCTGTTACATAAGCAAATCCCAACCCAAATCAGCTTTTCATCCTCACATTTACTTGAATAAATATTTTTGATAATTTGAGAGATGCACTGACATAACCGGACTTGGTTAGATAATGGAAAATTGGGTTACAACATGTTGTTGATGTTGCTGAATACTAATTCCCTTTTGGCATGTAAGCTCTTAACTCTTATACTGACGTGACATGAGGGCTAAAATAGGCCAGTGCTGTACTGTGAGCCTTAACATTGCTGTTGAGAGCTTTCTGTCTGATCGGTGTAGCATCTGCATCAATAAGGATGGTGCTAGATGCTCCTCAATCAATTGCAGTGTTCTGCAGTCTGCTAATGAGGTTATGGAGAGTGGCGTCAGTAGACATAGCCTTGAATAGTTTTGTCGTAGTTCATTAGAGAGCATTTGGATTATCCTTTAACTAACCTTTATGACATGGTGAATCTATAACTGGTAAATTGCTTCTGTGCATTTAATGAGTCAGTGAAGGGTTTAATATGGAGCTGCAATAGACAGTGAAGCAAAAGGAAAATATGCTGTCACTCACCAGACATTGGAATATGCAGAACTATCATTTAAAATGCCATGCCATCTGATCAAGTGCGTTTGTGTGGTTTCCAATTAAAGTAAATTGTCCAATTAAAACCAGATCTTTCATATTCACTCATTTTCACTCACTCTCCCCACTGTTTCCACACAGACTCTGCTCAGTTGGTGATTTCATAATTAGATGTAAAAATGGCACTGGTAGTTTTACCTTGATAAGCAAATCATGTTTGACAGTGTGAACACATTCAATGTGTATTTAACACTAATGTGTCATGGCCAAAAACACTGCTAGCATTGAGTTTAGAAGCAGTGATAAATTGTTGTTCTCATAGGAAAAATGGTGACATGCACATAATAAATGTAGAGATGGTGCTGAGAGTCAAAGAAAGTAGGAACATTGTCCCTTCGCTGTATGCTGTTAGTCACACAGCAGGGCGTTTTCTCACTCTGCTGTGCTCAGCCTTTATTTTAGGGGTGTTCATTGGTCTCAACTGAATTGGATCATTTAAAACTCTGTGAAATGAAAATAGAAGTTTGAAGTTCTGTGGTCTTTTAGTATAGGTCTATCTTTGAGGCCATCAAAGATACCGTGCACTTTTATTAGTTGACAAAACGTTTAGAAGTTATAAACATTTAAAATTCACAGACTTCCTCTTCCAGGAAAATATTGATGACTAATATTGTGCTTACTGGTGTGAATACTGTTATAATCCTAATACATTTAATATATATTTTCAAATATTGGCCCAAAATATTTAGTTATGAGGACCAGATGATTTTGGGGTGATTAGACTTGGGGTGATTAGTCCAGTTGTCCCTAATCAAATTCAAAATTGGCATGGCTTTAAAAGAGTGGTGCATGCCAGGATTTATGGAGCACAACATACCAATTCACTCTGCAATCATAAATGACATGAAATTACTGATCCATTCACAAGCTCTGAAAATTTATGGCACAGCCTTAGTTCCACCAACCAGTTCAAAATGCATCACAAACACCTTTCTGTTATGTGCAGATGCTGTGTGAATGTGATTAATAAACAAAAGATATGTCTTTTTTTCTCCAGAATATAACTGAAGCTTAACATGTCAGCCATAACATGTTATATAAATAGAAAATAGTTAAATGTGTGCTTTGTTATTGCTTGTGGCGGTGCTGTTTGATGGTAGTGTTATTAACTGGCCGGTCTGAGGTCTTATCAAGGCTCACAACTGGGATCAACTGAGATTTGCACTGTATTATGAGGTAGATCAGACAAGGAAGAAGAATGCTACAAGCAGGAGCCTGTGTTTGTAGGACAACAGGTCATAAAAAGAGCTGTTTTAAAGCTGCAGTCCGTAGCTTTTTGCGGGTTAAAAATTATCCAAAATACATATTTGAGAAAATACATAACCAGCCAATATTCAAAACGATCTGCTTGCCTTATCTCGATTCAAAGCGGTAAGTTTGTAATGTTTTTAATTCCAGTGGTACTGGTGGATTTCTGCGTGAGATTCGAGCATGTTGGTGGAGATTTATAACCTTTTCTCACAACACTCGATAAAAATAAACGTATCAATTTGATGGCGGATCCAGAAAGGTTCAAACGACAATCACCAGTGACAACAGATTCACCTACTATAAAATGCACAACACTTTATTCAGACTTCAACCGAACAAGTGGCTACAGAAAAAGAGACTGCTACCAGACCCATGCGAAATTGTCTCTTCAGCAGTCCTCAAACATTGTGTTCACCTGCGCTGTCGCTGTGTGGTGTCGAAATACAACTTGATACAAGTTGATAATTCTGCGAATGACTGTAATTGTAGATTTCGAACAGAGATGGCGACAAAGAGGAAAAACTGTGGACTGGCGCTTTATTGCAGTAGAAAGCACTCTGACTCACTGACTGTTCTACCAGTCACTAGAGAGGGGAGTGGTTCAATCTTTTTGTTGTGGAAAGGGCAAAGAGCGCTTTTGTGAATTTTCAGATTTTTCCTTGTCTTAAAGAGCCCCTATCATAGCATTTGAAATGTTCCTATTTTTGTTTTAGGAGTTCCCAAAAACAGTTTAACATGCAAGGATAAAAAACACTTTGTCTTATAATATGCATTTATTTTTAACTGATTTGCTCACCGACTCCCAAATGATTCGTACAACGATTTATTTTTACAAACCACTCCTTTGCGTGACGCTAATCGGCGGTGATTGGTCAGATGACAGACCCAGTAAGTTATTGTTTGTTAGCATAACGCATAAACATATTGATAAAGCACTGCAGTACTACAAGACGCTCTATTCTTTATCACAACTCCAATAACAGCGACAAACATTTCACATATTTAAAAATAATTGACATTGGAGACCTAGAAGCTGCACTGAGCGTAACTTGCGCACACACATACTTATTGCGCCTTCCCTGCTCGCGCCCCGACGCTACAAAACCGTTCAAAACCCATAAAAGCAACAATTATTAATAATACTTACAGGTTGTGATTCGGAGGAGGAAGCTTAACCATCTACAGCTGAGCCCTCCTTCAGGAACAACTGCTTGCGAATCCAAATTTGAATTAATTTATGTTTTTGAATGATTCGTCATT